ACGCCTTCAAGTGTGAATTATGAGATGATAGGGTGATGATTAGGGGTGAAGGGACAATGGGACAATCACAAATATGACCATTTCTCCAAAAGACTCGAACCTGCAGCCTCCTCGGCGCAGACGACGGCTACGCAACCATCTGCGGCACGGGACCGAGTTATTATTATTATTATTATTATTATTATTATTATTATTATTATTATTATTATTATTATTATTTTTCTAATTTACGACTAAATATGTTATGAGTCGTTTGATTATAAAATCTACTCCGGGTTGTGAAAAGTTGCCTACGGAGCATATCTAAAGTCTATCGGTGCCCCTACAATACCTTGCGCGAAATGTTCCCAATAAATCAATTATTAACAAAACCAACAACCTATGTAAATCTACCAACGAGTCAATCCAGCATATTTGCTGTGGATGCCCTGCATTGGCTCAATTAAAATATCTTAAGAAACTCAAGTGCTTCGCCAAAGTAATTCACCAGGCCCTTGAAAAAAGATACGACCACGTAGAGAGTGACCACCCTATTATAAGTGCAAATTATAGCAAGTAATCAGCAATGATTGAGGTCAGTGTCTGTGGAATAATGCAATCATCACTGATCGAAAAGTGGAAGAACGTAGAGCAGATATTATTTGTTTGATAAAATATCTAAACAATATCATTTATTCTGTTCATGCAGATGAAAGGCTTAACTAAGTAATAAATCATTTTTGAGAGAAGACGAAATCATTTTTGTTGAGAAGACGAAATGCGCATCACTGGCTTTTGAATTGTTGAACATTAATGGATTACATGCAATGGAAGTGCTTCTAGTGGTGATGTCAGGAAATGGATTGGTCACCCAGGAATGACAAATGACTGTAAAGATATTTTTGCTAACTAAGAAACATTTGCGGACCATTCAGAAAGCTGCATTATTGGAAACAGCAAAAATAGTCTGTACGTTTTTAAGCCTGGATTGACATATAAAAAGTTGAAAACATCAAGAGACACACAAACCAGTTAAAAACATCCAGAAACACAATATAGTATTTTAAGCCCACCGAGCCCCCATAGTTGAGACGTATTGAAAGCAAGAATGAACGTTTCTGGTGGGACATAAGCCTTCTGAGCGCCTTTACAGCTGCTGAGAACGCAAGTAGAAAGGTCTCCAGTGAAGGCGATTGGACGGATGTTGAGAATTCGAAAAACTCAGCCGAATTTCCAAGAGAGGCTTTGAGACCGCCATGAATATATAAATTAGCGTGTCGCAGTCCTTAGGTGCTGCCTAAGAAGATATAATTGAGCAATGAAACGAAGCCAACAGAATTCTATGAATTCTTGCGACCGGAACCACTTTTTCAGGAAACCCAGCGATCAAAGACAGTTGCCAGAAACAACTTTCAGAGACTTCGAAATAGAAGAATATTGAAGTAATATATGGAGCAATCCCAAGGCCCATGATGATGGAGCTTACTGGATACTAGAAGAGGAAGACAAGTGTTGTGATATACCTCAAATGCGCCCACGTAATATTATACAGAGGTATCTGCAATTCAGTCGGGAAGTCGCTGAATTGGAAAGCACCACTGATAGATACAAAACTTTTAGTGGAAGCACTCATGTGAGTGAAGTGTACTCATGTGATTCTGGCTAAGTGGTTTCAAGCCTCATTCAACGATCAAACTATCATTCCGGTGTCTTTTACTAAAGGAGTTACGTTTACAAAACGTAAGCCTGGTGACTCTGAAACTCCTTATCTGCCTTTCACATATCTTCCCACAGCATACAGGTTTTTTGCACTTGTGCTAGCAAGCATGAGGAATACCCATCTAGAGGCCAACAATCTTCTGGTATCAGAGCAAAATGGTTGCAGAAATTGTGCTCAAAGTTGCAAAGAATTATTGATAGTAGACTGCGTTGAGCCTATAAAGCCAAGAAAATGCATAGCAACATTTCTGTAGGAAGGATCGACTATATTAAGTCCATTGACTCGATACCTCATTCGTGACTTTTGTATTCCTTTGCCTATACAGAGTGAGTGCACAGTCAACCTAATCCAACACTGTATGGCAACTTGTGTTACAAACATAAAAGCCTCATTCGCTGAAGGCGGCTACACCACTAAGGAACTGAAGATCAAACGAAGAATTTTCCAGCGAGATAATCCTTGTTACTTATGATCCTCCCTAGCTCTAAACCCTCTCAACAGAATGTTAAGAGATTCGGGAATGGTACGTAAAATCACTAGAAGTCCTCAAATCATCATTAATAATCCATTCTACATTAACGATGTCAATCTGTACGCCAAAGATAATTCGTTGCTTGAACTTCGACGACTCTATTTGTATTATATTAGCATTGATGAATGTGCTGCAGTGCACGTGAAGGGTGTGGCATCGTTAACACGAGGGCCAGAACCGTTACGTCGGCGAAAGTGCGCTGCGGGGGAGGAAGGGGTTGAGCCTGAACTTCCGGGATTTTGCGCTCTGGCAGTT